TTTTTGCATCTCAGGCTCAGGGCAAAGTCGTCGTCGGTCCAAGTCGAATAAAGAAAACGAAGTTCCTCGATTAATGGTTTCGCCGACGGTCATGTGCGTCACTTGCACGACACAGCTGTCTCCATTCCAGTAAGTMAWTCRATAAATAATCGGTTAGTAATCGATAGTTGATCGTCATTACAAAAGTAATCCTTGATTAGCTGGTAACTTGATTTTATTTCCATTTCATTTTCTATTTCCATTCATTTTTTATTTTCATTTCATTTTTTATTTTCATTTCATTTTTTTCTCTTTTCTTATTACAACTAACTCTTTCTTGAATAAACTATTTTTTCATTTTTAAAATAGAAATAATTCTACATCTAATTATTTAAAATTCTATGAAATATTTTTCTAATAAATTATCTATATTACTAAATGAGTCGTCTCAATTCACTATCTGTATATGATTTTATTTGTGAACGATAAAAATGATGCCTGCATCGTGAATGATCCTTAATCAACATCTTCGTTAATTTACAATTCAATTCCGATTTGATATTTATATATAGGTATTAAATACGTAACAATTTACGCATTAAAGACGTAACGATTTACGTAGTGATTTACGTAATAATTTACGTAATGGTGTGTAAAATATACGTAATGACTGTGATGAATAGACGTAAGGATACGTAATGATTGAGTGATGATTACGAAATGACACACGTAATGACGTTTTGTTTACCTAACTCTATATGTTTACAATTCTAACTGATGTGTACTGACGTCATCACTAGATATCGTGACGTAACAACAGGAGAAACGTATGAAGCTCGGGTTGCTTTCCGTGTCTGCGTGAAGCCTGGGTCCTACGGTACTGGAAGAGCCTCCTGCTGTACACAAGATACAAATGAATCGCTATTAGACCATAATCTTGGAACCCAGGAATTGGAGTGGTATTTGGAAGAGAAGGGACTGGTAGCACTTACTGCACTACTTATCAAGATAGAGCCCACATAAACATGAGAGCGCGCGCACCCAATCCGTGAAACTTAAAGGCCCAGTTTGAACCATTATGCTTTGCGCGCCTCTTATTTTTATGATTTACACCAAAATACTTCTAGTAACCAAATATCATCATAAAACGAATTTCAGATGGTTGAAAACTGTTATATTAGCGTTTAAAGTGCTTCGAAAAGTGAGATGGTCAAAGATTCGAAACACACTGTACAATTTATAGACTTTCGGTAAACTGAAAATGGCCACCTCCCGGCCCTCGCGGTCCCCAAAGCATAATGGTGCACACTGGGCCTTTGAAAAGAACAACTTAGGCGCTAAATTATGCTAAAATTCTTTTTTTTTATATTTTCTAATCAATACTTTTTGTAGTAAATGTACTATTTGTTTCACGGGTCAGGTGCGTCGTAATTCTCTTAACCATAAGGTGCCACAAAGGAGGACTCAATAGAGCATTATTTTGGCATTCAACAATATTGCCGGCCGTCTAGTGGACGGTGAATTGTATATTGTGGAAATACGGTTCTTTTGATGTAAAATACATAGATCGTGAAGTTATAGTGATGTAAGTTTATCAAGGTAGTGTTAATAAAGATATCAGTTCACTATTCAATCCTCTTCCCCAGGCCCTACCCGTGTAATTTACTCCACCAACTAAGCTTGCGATAATTTCCTCGACCCAATCTCCCACACGTGATTATTGACTTGCCCAGTCTCCCATGGAATATGATTTAGATCATTTAGTTGATAGATTCATTAGATTCCTTGCAGTCGCCACCTTGGTTTCGTTAGAAGAGTGAGAAATTCTAGTGCTGGGGTTTGATATTAGCAGATATTTCATAGGTTTTGACCTCTTTTTGCAAAAAGCTTGAAATATCCTATATGTTAAGTTTTTTCTCTTTACATGTAACCTTAGAGAGCACATGGCTCCACCACCAAGAAACACCCGCCCCCCCCCTTGTTTGCCCAGTCATTTTATTCGGTGGAGTATTCTTCGGGCGAGCGCGTCGCACTTCAATAATTTTATGTGACACCACGAGATACAACTCAAATCTTTTCATTTTCTAACAATTTATTATTTCACATTATGATAACATGTTTGACTATATACGATGGCAATAAGAAAGTCAAAAATCTAAAATAAACCAGATAACAATCACATTAATCAAATCCTTCCGTAGTGCCCGCGGCTAACACGCCCTCCGTTGTCCAACCGAGCCTTCCATATAACATTCTATTGTTTATAGTAAAAATCAGTTTAAAATGAGCCCTTGTCTAGATTGATAACTTCTCGTCCTAAGCTGAATTGCGAGAACTCTAGTAAGACTATACGAAATTCATGAACTTATTCAAAACTACGAATTAAAGGAATGCGAAATTATTGGCAACGCTACAAAATTGATGAAATTGGCAACATTTGAGTAAAGTCGTATACAGAAAGAGCAAGACCTCACAGAAGTGTTTTATTGACAGTTTATACGTTAGAATCTGATCATAATAGACTATATATTCGACCCGTATATGATAACGTTGTAGACCCGTACCACTTCCGATAGGAAAGTAGCTCCATCTAAAACAATGGATTATATTTCCCAATACAAAATCCCTTGTTTCGAGATGTAACTGCTTTCGGGTCTTGACCATATGCATTCTGGTCAACCTTGCACCGTTTAATGCAAAGCATGCATTCAAATGCCGTGGCTTCCCACCACTCCTTGGGCGTGTCACACTTAATCTTGCTACAATAAGACTATATTGTTTATTCAATTCAACGTCTAACAAACGTCACACTTCATACGAGTTAATCATTTTAGAATCTTTGATCAGTTATTCTAGAATGTTTAATCTACAACAGGCTGGATGTCCAGTGACATCATTATGCTCTATCTGTCTTAGTGTTAGACACGTGTGAAAATCGACGATCATGCTAAAACGTAATATTCTTAAGTAATCTCTGAAGACTAAACTATATTCATACCCAGTCCCCTTTTCRTATYATAAGACRAGAGGYTGGGCACGAGAGCGACATCTCCATTGTCTCCGCAGGCTACATTAAGCCTCTGATAAAATTCAATATAGATTCTACAGAATGAAAAGCAATGTACAATAACCATAATACGCTATTTACAAAGTCTATGATAAAACCAAACAAACTTTATATGTATATCACTACCAATTATAATTGTACGCTCTTTTGGAACACTTGATCATTCCTTCTTTTTCCCAAAACGACTATTTCTTTGAATACAATTGTCATATGTTCATCATTCTATTCCATTGAAGCAAATCTGTATCAAACCCGTTTTTAAAAACTGGTAAAACAGGTTTTCTTTTTGAGATGCAGTATCCAGTTCAAACAGTTCGGTTAGAAAGCCTCCAGAACCAGTCCAACAGGTTGTGAAACAAGTCAAGCAAGTCTCAAGAACCAGTCAAACAGTTTATGGATTTACATAGCAGACGCGTAATTTTAGGGAGAAACAAATTCCGTTTAGCAAACTACTTTTTTCTTCTCAGCAACTTCTCGTTGTCTTCGCGACTTGACCTTCAWTATTTTCTTGACGCCTGTACAGTTCTTTGTCCTAATTTGCTTACTATCTCGGCCTGCMYCTTGCTGTTCACCAAGCTGACAATCAGCTYTGCTGTGGTATTACGTGATTGACCAGTAATCTCCATGGTCACATGACATCAACAAAATATTCACACGGATTCGTCATTGCCATTCGAAAACTATTCCTGCTCGATGCTATGCTTTCGGGAACCTGGTCTAAAGGGCGTGGCGCTGAAGGGGTCAGCCCAGTGGGTGGTGCTGGTGCTTCACTCCGAACACTCTGACTACTCTTGCCCTTACTACTGCCGCTACGTTCACTACTGCTTCCACCACTGCTCCTGTGATCATCACCCTGTCGCTCGCTACCACGTTTTGAACTTCCACTACCGCTGTGAGGGCTTTGGCTGCCACTATGTGCACTTGTACCGCTGTAGAAAGAGTGGGCATACCCTGCCGTCTTGGCATCGACTGGCATGGGGGGTGCATGGGGGTGCGGGTAGGGTGGCATCTGATGGTACCCATAAGCGGGTGGTCCCCCTGTCAACCATGGAATAGCTTGTTGCTGTGGGGGGAGGGGACCTAGGGTGTCTTGATCACCCTCGTGTTCATGTTCTGTCAAAGTCAAGGCGGCCATGTCTGAAAAGTAATACATTAGTCAATAATTGTGAAGGGATCGAACAAATGAATGACGCATGTTATGGCTGTTTTTATGAACGTTTTAGAGTTTGAGAGTTAAGGGGTCAGAGTTACTCTCATTCTATGTCACTTGAGCTTCATATCATTCGAGCATATGAAGAGAAGGTCCCACTTTGATCAAATGTTCTCGAATCTTTGATCAAACCTTCCAGAACTACCGATTACCGTTTGAAAACGATCAATGGAGTATTCTAGAATCTTTGATCAAACGTTCCAAATAAATTGAAAAGTCCCATTCTGTTAGCAAACCCTCATTGTCAGAGTTACTCCACCCCTGATGTTGTTAACTGTTGTTTTAACGGTTATACTATTGTTTAAGCACACAAGGTATCAGCAGTTGAAAGTAGTTAGTATAGAGTAGACTGCGCATGAGTATCACATTGAAAATATCTTACCATAAATGGACGGGGGATCGCAATCTTCCAATCAGATTGAAGATGTCACGTGCACCATGTCACGAAATCTTCGCGTTACCGAAAATTGTTGAATCCGGAAGTGACACAACCAGAAAAAAAAGTTTTCTCGTACGAAATCTACTCATACTATACTACTTTTAAAAACACGAAAATGTCGTTACGAATATCGTCGTGAAAAATGTTGTTGAGTCCTCCACAAACGTTATGAATGTCACGGTATGATGGATGATCAAAATTAAGATATGTTAAAATCACTTACTTCCACAGAGATCGCCGAAAACGTAGTAGCACTGCTCAGAGAAAGTGATTTTATTCACTGTGTGTCGAATGTATCCAGCCTGCAAAGATAAGAGAACTTCCATAAACTGTTCTAGAATTTGATCTGTCATTCTATAAACATTGATTACACGTTCTAGAAGCAAGAATGATCAAACGTTCTAGAATAATCGATGAAAAGTTATAGAATTGTAGTGAACTTAATTGGATGCTCTATTTCGATGTATTTAGTACCTTTAACAAGTTACAACTATATTTTCTAGCTTCTCGTCTATCAGTAAATCCCTCGACATGTGTATAGAGCCAGTCTACGACATCGGAACCTRAAKAATGGACARAAAACAATCAGCAAATRGAATAGTTAACGTATTGATGATGATGACAATGATTGACATTGTCTATCAACAAGATTACAATCATGAAAATGAAGTGAAGATAATGCGACTGTGACGCAATGATATCATGGATAATGATTCCTGCGAATCATGACAATCTTAATGACGTTGAATGATTATGATGACATGATTGACAGCTGACAATGATTATTCCATTATATATCGCGAACATGATTACAAATCATACCTATAAAAGCGTTAGGAATAGTGATTTTAAGCCACATTCTGTCTCGTATATCTAGTCCAGAGTCGGGTGCCGCCATTGCTTTGACAACGGTCGCCATATCGGTGTTCACTGTCATGGGTTCACCGTCGACTATCTCAGTGTATCCTGCTAGCAACAAGTAAGCATCAAGACGTTGCATATTAGGTTAAATAAATAACAGATTATTATGTATAACGGGTTACATGTAAAAACAAAAATAACACATTGATGAAACGCTCTAGAATAACTGATCAAATATGAATGTATTTCAGATTAATTCAGGTAATGACATTAATCAACGTAATGATAGTTGCAAAATAATTGATCAAATGAAAAAGTGCATGTTATAGCCAGGAAATTGTTGATAAAATATATTAAAACATTTACGGTTTGCTAACGGAAGTTCTGGCATCATTCATCAAAATGATAAATAAGAGGAATTCATTAATGATCAAATGCTAGACTTCATGGAATTAATGAATAACTCCAGGGTTACATTCCTTTGTGATAACCTCACAAGGCAGTATTGTATGAAAATGTAAGAAAAGTCAAAGAAAAGCCGCAATCGAGAATCCTTTGATCAATCGTTCGAACTGATCAAACATTCGATAACAGAGTATTAAAGTATTAACCAACGCCCATCTTGTACAAACACATTTATTTCGAGCAGTTGGCATGTTTTCTTTTTTTTTAGGGAAGCGCTTTGTGTAAAGTGCACGAAGTCGTGGCGTTTCAAAAGAGGATGGGACGGGGGCGTACAAAGTAGGGATGCAGACACCGCCGATTCACGTCTTTAATACGATAACTGTTGCTGTTTGTTTTAAGGTTGTGGTGAAGGTCAAATAATATACGCCTCACGACAAATTTATAATCTAGGATTCTACTTGAGTATGAGCAAAAAAAAAATACGTTCGAGTGTACTTTGATCAGTCGTTCGAATTGATCAAACGTTCGATCTCAAAAAAGGCAAATCGGATTAATAGTTTTCAACTGTTTTTTAATGGGATTAGTTGTCGGTATGTATACTATAATATCTGATTACACAAGCATAACAAAAGGGACTGTTTCACTAATTAAAGGTTAAAAGGATGTCGACATGAAATTTCAATCTTTCACACTACATAACACCGCTCAAACGTCCTGGTCATAGGAGAACTTTTAATCAGGGGGAGGCAAGAACTGTGACTAATACATTACAAGTGCGTATAAACCATCTAGTGGTGATTAGAAGGGGTGAAACTCTAGGGGTGAAACTCGTAATCAGGGGGGGCATGAACAGATATGCATTTCTTATAGAAATCATGTATGGGTGTTTGTTATGAAAATTGTCTAGTACTTAGAGGGTGGTATTGGGAGAGGTTTATTACTCATGGGGGGTAGTGTAGGGAGATTATACTCACTGTCTGATTCTGGTAGTGAGCTTGTCATTGATGAGCTTGTAGATGTCATGGTGCTAAGTGATTGGTGATTGGGTGGTTTGTCTCCGAACTGTGCTGCTTGTTGTGCCGCAAATTCTGAAAAAATAAAAAAATAAAATAACAATCAATGATTTCATTCACTCTTCAAGTTTTCTTTTCACCCATTTATTCGTGTTTGAAGTCCTTTCATGCTTAATCATTGATTCAAACAATTCATTCATTTTTGTAATTCATTCATTCTCATTCATTTTTTTCTCATTTATTCGTTTAATCATTTTTTTAATTTTTTGACACTAAGAGCACAAGGGACTAACAACATACAAGAAATCTGTGAGATAAAGAGATGTTTACTCATTGAAAAATTGAAAACAGATCAGTATTAATTCCTTGGGTATGTTGAAGGTAAAATAGATCGTTRTACTTACGATTCATTGCTGTGGTGTGCTGTACCCATGCTGAAGTGTCTATGGGTCGAACAGGATCACCTGGGAGAGAAAGGAAACATTGACTATCCATCTACCAGTATTTTAATGTAATAGGGTTATTCCCAATGACATTATGATTGATTTAAGGACTGAAACAATTATTGTCCTTCTGTATGGATTTGACACTGTCATGCTATCAATTTAAGATATACCTAAAGAAAATATAACTTCATGTAGCAAAAAAAAGGATTGATATTTGAAAGCAGAATACCAAATATTATTATGACAGAAACTATTTTTTAACTGAAGCACCAGACATATTAACTTAGTTTTAAAATTACCTTCAGTTAAAGAATCAGTTCTATAGGACCTTCTTATACAGTGAAACATATTTTACAAAGGTTGATCACTTGTTCTAGAATCATTGATCAAATATTCTAGAACATTTGATCAAGAGATTCCACAAGAATTGAGATTAGATACTTAACTATTGTACAAGGTTAACCAATACAACATGGAATAATTAGTGTAATCATTAGATAAAAAGTCTGTTGTATTTTCTGGAAATCTGACTTAAAAGACACAATGTTCTAATGTCAATATTAAGTTTTCTTTTGATTGATTAACTTTGACTTGAATATCTTAATGAAATGACAGTCACAGCAGCAGATTAGACAAACAGATGCAGTGTACAGAGGATGCCTTATCAAGCAATAAATGACATCATTGTTCAATGGGGGGTATGAGAATAATAGCAAGAGACCATTGATTAAAATTCTCCCTTTTTTAATATACTACAATTTATATAATATCATTTTATTATCATGTTAGTTACTCACTGTGTGGTAATGTAAAGTAGCCTTTTGGTGTTGGATCCCAGCATTTCGCTACTGTCAAGGTTATTGGTCTGAAAAAGATTATATTATCAACATTAAAAAAAAACATTTGTATTAACTTCAACTTACAACAGCCTCATTATCAAAGACAACAGAACAACATTATTTGTGCCACAGTCCTTTTCACTTTCAGATCAAAATAGATGCACAGCTATTTCAGAAAATGGTGACTTTTGGGCTTGGATTTCCGGATCCTGTATTCAACATCTAAACAGCTGTGTATATATATAGTCACTATCATGACCATCACTATCATGACCATCACTATCATGACCATCATCATCATCACCAACATCATCATTATCATCATCATAATCACCATCATTTCATCAATATTCATTTCATTCATGTCAGGCCTAGTCTTACCCTGGTTTGTGAACCATTTCTCTTAGTACTCTAACAGCATCATCATTTGTCATGTTTTCAAAATTAACATCATTAACCTAGAATACATCAAAAACAGAATTTGCAGCAACAATTACATACACATAAGCTAGTTTGTAAGAGTACACTACTGGGGGAAAACCCTAGTTTACAAGTGTTTGCTACAGGGGGAGAACCCTAGTTTGCAAGCTATGCTACTGGGGGAGAACCTAGTGTGTAAGTGAATGCTGGTGCTGACTACCACAGTTTGCAAGTTTTAGCTGGTTGAGGAGAACCCAGGTAAAAAGGTCTCCAGACCAGGGATTATGACCCAGCCAGAAAGTGAGAGTGATATTGTTATGAAAATAAAATGAAATGGGAAGAGAATGGGAATTACCTGTAACAGCATGTCACCTGGTTCTATTCTACCATCAAGATCTACAGCTCCCCTGCAAATAATACCAATTTTCTCAGTATAAACAGAGCAATAATAGTGCATAAAACATGAAGGAGCTACTGCACCCCTTTATAAAATTTCATGGAATTTTCATAGGTCTTCCTTACCCTTTCATGACAGATCCAACATATATACCACCATCTCCTCTTTTATTGCTTTGTCCTACTATGCTAATACCAAGAAAATTGACTTTCTCTGTAAAACACAACAACAACATTACTAGCTGAAGGTGACTCTTTAAGCCTTTGACCAATCAAAGTAACTCTTCTTAAGATGTTGTGGCTGGTAATGTTCACTTACCCATATTTAACATGACAGTAATGATATTCAATGACATGGTAGATTCTGTGATGGTACTGAAGGAGGAACACTATAAAAAAAAAGAAAAACTATAATTATTGATTTGTTTTCCTTTTTATTTCTTTCACAGTTTTATTTTTCAATTCTTTTCATTATAGTTTCTTTCYTTCCTTATYTCTTTTTTCTTTCTATTCTTTATTTCTTCTCTTCTTTCTTTTTCCTTTCATTTTTAGTGATACAATTTCTTCACTTCTTTGTGTTCAATTATAGGATTACAAACTGAATTATAGAATTTGTGTAGCTTTTCACAATAAAATATTTTGAAAATTTAATTTAACATGAATAAAAAAAACGAAAATACTAATAAATACTGTCCAGATAGTTCTAGAAATAGGTTCTATTTAAAAAGAGCATCTGAGCTATTAAACTTCACAAACAAATCATAATTTCGCTTAGATTAAAATGTCAAAAGAACTATTGACTTTGCAAATAAACATTGAAATGAATAGACATTTCTAGAAATGTTATTCAAACATGACATTGCTAACTAGTCTAATTGCATTTAACTATAAAAGCAGAAATGAACATTTTAAGTGATGTATTGTGGTATTCTGTCCTTCAAAGCTACTGCTTTCCACAGTTTATTACTTGAGTGAAAATATTAAAACTTGAAATAGTGTTAAGTTATATTAAATTATATGAATTCCTTTGTTTTCTATCGTCAAATCCAAACTATTTAGCGCTACTTGGTTAGTTTTTTGTCATGCTTTTAGTGCTTTCATTCTAATATCTGATGCACCCACTTTTGCTCTATTTTTAACTGTCAGCTAATATCTTAGCACACAATACATGTCTAGACAGTAAAAAGCCAAGCCTGTTAGTTATATAAACAGTCAAGAAAAATCGTGAAGACATGTGTAGTCTCAGCAAATCCATAAGTCAACAATAAGGTTTTYAGGAAAGAACAAAAAGATGCAGGAGACTGTGATTATGTGTTTAAATGGTRGGTTAAYGTAGTGGGAGTTTTTGGGTGGTTGGATGTTTTTGTACATCTGTGGAATTATGCTRGTAGGTGATCCTATTTGAAAATAACACTAGGAAATCAGCTTTATAGTTAAGCTGATTATTGGAAATAGTTTGAATATTCARGAGAATTGTACATRTYAATAAATCCATRGTTGAAAGATTTTGGAATACTATAGTAGGGACACAAAAAATAAATTGAAACTTTGAAAATGTTGCAATTAATGTTTAAGAATGTCACACAACAATTAGAAGGAACTCTCAAGTCACGCAATACCACCAAWGTGTTRCTTATTTTACAAAATATGAAACARTAACTGTAACAAAAATATTTCATTSTCATTACCCTTTGCACTCTCGGCATTCTCGGTCTTCTCCTTCTTCGTCGGTGTCGACCACTTAATAGATGCGAACCTTCTGTTGTACTTGAAAAACGYGAMACGCTGAASAAAAACAGGGATAATATTATGGTATACAGGTATAATCATATTTAGTATTCAATGCTTAGTTGAGTTCGTATAATTATGAAAACTGCAGTAATGTTTATATGGAAAAAATTGCAAGAAAACAAAAATTGATTACCCAAAGCAAATACAAATATTAGCCCTCCCCTGACAGTTTCATGATCTCCTAGATTTTGTATCTAGAAGACACACCCATCCAAGAACTCTCATTTCACTACACAGTTCAAGGGAAGGGGGCGGTATCTATGTATGAAATATGTAAAAAAAAACATATAAGTTTATTGTTCATACCTGCTTTGATCATCAGAGTCAACATAGCTTGTTGATTCAATATCACTACTCATTGTAGAGGTCGTATCAAATCTCTCTCCTGGTTGTCTCATTCTATGCCTACCCACAGCTGTAAAACACATTTTGACATTACAAAACCCCTTAGAGGAAATATCTCATAAATGTATCAATACACGGTATCTGGTATATATATATTCACAGTAATGTTGCCGTTATCTGATATAATTTGTAATACTGTCATGGAACATTTCAATAAGAATGAAATTAAGGTTTTTTTGATACCATATTATCATCAAATAATGAGATACAAGCCATCATAACTAAGAATTTGGTTAAAAAACAATAAGTGCACAAATAAAGTGACTCTGTTTGATCATTATATTGTAACCACAAAACTAATAAAACTGTATATACATAGCCCTATTGGTAGCGTTGCATATTGGACGTTAAATCACGGTAATAACATAAGATTCGTGAATTATCAGTATATCATGCAATATTTCTTTAAATGATTTACGTTTTCTTTAAGTATTTTGAGTGATTTTATCTTAACTGGGAGACAAATGTCTCCATAGTATGTGAATAATGAACAATATTGGAATAAACTGGCATGTTTTTAATAAGTACCATTCATTACGGCAATGGGTACAGACTCAAAGACTCTGAGTTATTTCTTAATGATGATATTTGCAAACCATTTATTTAGTGTCAACTGTTTTTTAATTGAAGAAAAACTGAATGAATCTGCTAAAAATAATAATTTGTGCTCTTATTTACACCTTGTTTGTAAAATTAACATCTGGTAGATTTTTTTGTTTTCATTTTCTGTTGCTATTGATCATCCATTCTATTTTAAGATTGATGTTTCTATTTCTGTTTTTCATTTCACTGCAATAGCATTTAAATCATCACGTTGTTTACAATTGACTCATTTTGTAGGGAAAAATGCCAAGTGCAAAGGTTTTCATTGTTTACTAAGATATCTTATACAAATGAGTCTTCACAAATCTACATTTACAGTTCATAGAACACTTGATCATAGAATATTGTGAAATATGGAACACTGCTGATCATAGAATGATGAATCACAGAATTCCATACAACTATGGAACATTTGATCATTGACGTGTGTTGCATTATAAAATAAGTACTTGATCACAGAATGCTTATCACAGAACACTTGATCAAAAAAAAAACCTCATCATACAGTTGCATCACTGTAGAACACTTGATCATTGAAAGCTATAATCAATTGACCATAGATTGCTACATCAAAGAACACATAGAATGGTAAATCATGGATTATACAATTACCTTCATTTCCTCTTCCTCCATGCTTATCTCGTCGTTTAGATCCCCCTCTTCTAGAACTGATAGTAGAATCCACTTCTGAATCAAAGTCCCCTGTGGTAGAATGCCCTCCATTCGGACTGAAAAATGAGAATTGAAAAATGAGAATTGAAAAATGAGAATTGAAAAATGAGAATTGAAAAATGAGAATTGAATTAGATTTTACGATGTTGAAACTCCAAGAATCATACAGTAAATACAATGATTGGATATGACTGGATGYGTATTTCAGCATGGAAGAAATAATCACTGGCACATATATCTATGATATTTAAGCTTCTTTATTTCATTTTTACTGCACTATATAAGCTGGTTTGCATACTGTATCCATAACCATAAAGAAATAAGAAATCTTTACACTAGAAACTGACTTGAAAAGGGCTTTTTTTATAGTATAATGTTTAGGATATTAACTCTTTACTTAATTTAATTCTAATTAACGTAAAAAAAGCTCAAGTAGCATTGTTTTTGTGATGTGAAAATTTTACATACTATTATTATAACTTCAGAAATCTCAAGCTTCTTCAAGATATGATGGAGATATTATTCCTTTATAGTAAAAATCCAATTTCTCCTGTAAATGAACTATACCATTTTAAGTTTTTATCATTAGTTTCTCATCTCAGAAATCACCTGTGAAATCACTTTGTGGCAATTGAAAAATATGTTGTCAGATTGMTGGCCAGGKWTTTTTYCGCTATTATTATTGTTTTGCAATTACAAGATATTCTTAATGAAATCATGGTATAATACCAGAACACTTCAGTCTAAAGATTTTGAATGTTTTGAGGTTGATAGCTTTGAAATACACATTTCGATGATAATATGAGTCAATATGTGCAATCGTTTGTACATGAATAAATATTCTAATTTCCATGAAAACAATAGAGGATCCAGCTGTTTTGAAGTGTAATATTCACAAACAACAAAAAATTAGAAAAAAGTGATAATAACATGCTAAATGAACAAAGGAAGCATATCTTTGAGATATAAAAAATTCATCAACTATAACAGTTTATAAGTCAAGTACAAAAAAAATATTAAGTGTATTTTTATGCCTTAACATCATAATAACGATGAACATCATAATAACGATGAACATCATAATAACAATGACTTTAGACATTCAGTTCTGAAGAAAAACAGTTTCATTGGAATTATTTTCAGCAAAAACTATTCTTTCAATGTTTTTTCTTAGCCTAATTATGAAAATAGATATTAAATTTTGAAACATAATCTATGTAAAGTACTTGGTTTCAAGAAGATTAATTTAGACCACATAATCACWTTTTTCCTACTAAACAAATTAGTGACATATTTTGGGCAAACAATATTATTCTGGTAATCCAATAATGACAAGAAACTCAGAAAAATTGYRTATTGTGGCATATGGCTGTGATAGTTTTATATGATGCTCAGAGATAAAATGGTCTAATGATCAGATTTGCACAAACAAACAAAAAATTGGAAAAAAAATTACAATATTCTGGAACATTCTACAATAAACAATTCTTTTATATATTAATTTGACAACTATCCAGGCATAAAGGATTGTTAAAATATCTCACGTTTAAAGCTCAATATTGTCAATTTCTTTTGTCTTCATTTTAGTCACAAGGCATTCACAAGATGRAGAATACTGTATGTCAGTGAGTGTATATGTGTGTATGTTATGTACAAGYTGATTAATTCACCAAATCCTCGTGTTCTGATTTCAATGCAGATGCTTGTATAGTTTATCTCTTGTTGGGGTAAAATTCTGATAATATGAGATTCAGCATTCAAAACCGGGCCAAATTCAAATSAAAAATCATAATAACTGATAATAAAAGATGATATTCTAGGCCCTAAAGGCTTTATTTTGAAGTAATCTTTATAGATTATGAATAGTACTTTTATCTTACTAWGTTAATCAATATAAGTTAGATTTGGTTGTGATTATAGGAGACRTTATCTGATGGACATCACAATATTCCATAGATCACAGAATATTCATTAATTTAGGAGATAAAGCACTCAAGTGGCTGTCCTCTTGAAGTTGCTAATGTCAACCAGATTGTAATAATCATTTGGCTTATTGCAAAGTTATAAAGGACTTCAATCTATRATTTCTTTAGCCCTACTTACATGAGGTATCTATAGGGTGCCCCTAGGTGGCAGAAACTCAAAATGATCAATATCTTTTTCATTTATTCAATCATTCATCCTCTCGTCCGTTCAGTTATTTTTTCTTTCATTTTATTTTTCTTTTATTTTCTTCCATTCTATTTATGGATTGGTAAAACAACAGGGCCTAATTACATCACAAGAGAAAGTAGCCAGCRCAACTGAGTTCATTTTGGAAGAGTGTGAAAACATCACTATACAACAATTCTTTAAAACTTTTTATAGCAAACACTGCACAAGGCACCATACAATTCACATTCTTACAAAATCTTCTTCTTTTGGCTGTTGATTTGAAGTACTTACTGAAAAGATGGTGGTCTAGAATCGCCTATTCCAACTGTTCTTTGTACTGGAAGATGCATATCKGAGGGACTTGAYAGGATSGAATGCTGRTCTGAAGCAAGGTCGCCTCCACCACCAGATCCTGAAACACTACTTGTATCTGATGTAACAAGCTGAAATGAAACATTGATAATTGAAACATTTGAAACTTGGATGGATTCTAAAATACAACATGCATCAAGAGGTTTCATTACTAAATAAATTTACAAATAACTAGCGAGAAAAACCGTAAGCCTAAACCAAAATATCTATAAATCCTGAAGACATTGTTTTCATTGCTGTAGGTTCATATTATAGATCTGTTTAATATTTATCTTAAATATATCAAGAAACATTTGACAGAATAGCAGTTTTTATATGACAAGTTTAAGTAATAAATATCACATAGAATTACCAACAAGCACTTAGTCCTTTAATTAAAAACATATGAACTTAAATATAAGCCTTTTAGTGATTGTATTTGAGCCAAAATGTCTACAAGCCTTTCAAATGGAAAACTGTTCAATAGACATAGACAGACAATAGACATAAAAGAGCCAAAAAAGCGCAACACTCGTGTTACTTTGGTAATTCTATCAACAATTATAACTTACACATATATAAATATACCCTGTATGWGTAATTATAAATTAGCGTTTCAAAAACCAATATGTTTTAATGTAAAACAGCCATATATAATATAATTGATAAGTTGTTATAAAAAAAAACAACATAAAAACTGAGAGCGTTACTTAAGGAATAACGACCTACATTAGCTGGCTATAGAGTTGACTATATAGTATATATAGGTCATGTCTAATCTTCATGAAATATGTGTCATACTATATCTTCTACGCTGTCAAGTTGATGACCTCTTAATGACACCTCAAGATATATCCAAGTCAAGGTGAAGAGAATCAATACAATGTCACATGGAAAGATAACTTCATGTGTGGCTATGTCTTTTTTAATTCTATCTCATAACTACGTTTATCATATACTGTATGAAATACCTATATTTTTCCATTTCACAAAGTTGATATTTTTAAGTTAGTGAAAATAACATTAAAAATAACACATTCGAGGTTTCTCTATATAGTGGAAGTAAGAAAAATGCACTCAAAATTTTACGACATATGTAATTATATGATAAACAGAATATTACATGGTCGCTTGAAGATACGAAGTTTATCTTCTCCTGTTGAAAAACTCTCACAAGTATCTCCAAGCGTCCATGTACTATCCTATATAAATGTTTTATTTTTCTCTCTCTGAAGTAAAAGGTTGCACTATATACTACTTTTCATTATTTCTACTCTTCATTCACTACTTCATTAAAGATATCAAAGTATAGAAAAATATTTCTGATAGTTTTCACTGATTATATAAGACTTATCGTTAAAAATATGTATAATTAAATTATGTAAGAGGTAACAGACAATATTTTTGAGGGTATTTTTGTTTATCTTTCTTAACAAGCACTCCRTAAAGTGATAAAAAAGTCATTAAATTATAAGTTGAATGTCAAATCTATAGGCCTCGGTGAATATTATCATAACAACAGCATTCATAATTGCCAGAGATTTATCAATTAATAATGACTGCTCCAGAAAWTATATMATAWTACATTCAAAATAAATATTTTAATAAATAATTGCTTGAAATCTATAAACAAAGAGTAACCMTTATAAACAACCACATTCCATACTTGCTAGTGAAGTCTTTGTCTTTCTCAAAAGACTTCATTCTTAGATGAACAATAACAGGCACCACTAAGGGTCCCCATGGGAATAATTTGCATGATTTATTGATTGACAGCTATTAATTAAAAGAAAAGTGTTCTTTGTTGGGGTAAGAACACAACAGAATATGCAGACAATATGGAATCATACTTGAGAGTYAAATGCAAATGCAAAATGCTTTKAGTGACAAAGGATTTTGYAAAATATTTTCTTTAATTTTTATCTTGAAGCAATTTTATGTCCAAAGTTATTAAATTACATAAAATGGAGGATTGAAAGTAATAGGACTTGGTTTTGAGCTCATTAAAAAGTTAGTGCTGTCAAAATTGCAATAAACAGCAAAACAGCAAAATATTATTTTATAGACATTGTTCCTAACTATAAACCATATTTTTTCAGTATCGATATGGTGAATTTATGTCAAATTCAGATGAAAATAATTTCTAAATAACATTAATAATGAATTACTTCATAAGTGTTCCAGGAAACAAAGGCCTAAACTTAACGTAAGAGCTAATTTCAAGACGACAATGCTGTGTTCTTACACATGTAACATGACATACTAATAATATTTCAAGTTCTCCAATGGTGAATTGATGTCCAATGTGGAGAATTAACAATAAAAAACCTGCTCWTTGCAACCTGCTGTCATTAACACCAGAAGTGTTCACACAATCCTTCTACATCTACACTCTTATTGAATAAACATTGGTGCTAAATCTTGTTCAAGAACTTGTAAATTCAATTCAATACCTAACATCATTAAAGAAATGTCATTGGTTTTCATTTCCAGGCACTAAAAGTATTTTTCCAAAACAAAAACATTGTGKAAAATACTGATAGAAAAAGCTTTTGGATGTCAACACAAGATTACTAGAATTCCAGGCGTTGTAAATAGAGTGAGTTATGACTTAGGTTTRAAAAGGAATAAAATGTACCTTTACAAGTTTGTTTATGGATACTAATGTGAAAGTAAGAAAGATCAATATCATATCACAGCAAGAAAGTAAGTAAATCTATAGGGTTTCTTATATTAGAATAAATAATAAATGTAAGAACTTTATTATCTATTTGTATAGGGTCTTGATAACTGTATGTCACATCTAGGTCTTCCTTAAGAACTATTAATTAAATTTCAAACCTAAAGCTCGGTATCCTATCTACTTCACAAACAAACTTTACAATTTACAATAAACAATAAATTTACTGACAAGCTGTCTGTTTATATTTAGGAAAACTGAGACTTTTCCTAATAATAAACAAACATATTCTGAATATCCTTAAGAAAGATTTTGTTGTTGCTGATCTCTCAAAGTCGATCTGTTATGTAAAGATCACAATCTGTTTAGTTGAAATCCATTCAGACATTCTTGTATAGCTGAATGTGTAGCTCGCTGATGGAGCTTATTATGATTGCTTAGTTGGTAGTCAATGGATTTCTACGCTGATGGACGATAGTTRTTAAACGGTAAAGGAAAAGAAAGCTTATTCAACTTACCCATGCAACTACACGGCCATTGAAGCAAGGTAAACGCATTTCGTCCTCGCATATCTCTTCTTTGACCACACTAAAACACAGAGAACATTGAAATTAACAAGGAAGGTATCAATTACACAGAACAACGCTATCAACCTTAGCGCTAAAATAATCTAGAATGAACTGCAGTCTAGAACGCTACAAGATTCTAGAACGAAAATCAAGCAAATTGATAAAACAAGCAGTGGTGTTGTAATAAACTGGAGTATAAAGGAAATCTAATCAGCGCGCCACGAGCGAGAGTCACCGAGCAGTTCATGATAAAAGCTATGTCATGCATCGATAATATGCGAACTCAATTCAACAACCCAAATGATCTACTTTCACTGACATTACAAGTGAATTTCCATTAAGAAAGATTCCGTGTTCGAGAACAAAGTTTCCATTAGCGTAAAATCGAAGCGTCTTGGCGATCAACATAAACATTCCATAAAGAAGTTTTCATTGGATCGAAGCATACTCACCCGAAGTCATCGTCCATACTTTTGAAAAAAAACTTATACGAAGGTCGATTGAGGACATTTTTGAAATCTCCAAGRGTAACAACATCAGGATGTTTCCCTAGTTTGACGAGATACGGCGTATCTTCATCATCGATGTGGTATATAACTTTAGTCTCGTCCATATTGGTTAGTTCAACCACACCAACAGAGAAAGCAGTTCTGCTGCACTTTCAAGGCAACGCGTCAATCAATAGTAAATCACATGGTATGTTTCGACCAATCAGCGYGCGTYATTCGTCCATTAGCGAGACAACACTACATTGATCAGGCAACTTGACGAGATTCACTAAAACAAAAGTTTTGCCTTTGTTTGCTGAGATTTTGTTTAAGTTTTTTTGTGTCCCTTGGTCCTGTGGTGTTAGGGTATTGATATGTGAAGGAATCACGCTTGTGGGTTCAGCCAGGAAGGCTTTTGAATAYCGTKAGTATGAAAGCCACTCTGTTCAAACCAACTTCCGTTCTTTTACAAAGAAGTCTGCAGTTGTCAAAGGGAAAATTAATGCAGTTGATTTATTCAACTTCGCTTCACAACTCATTAAAAGTATTTAGGCAGATAAATGTGCACGGATCTTATCGCACGGATCCGATAACCCTTCACAAAAGCGCATTCTCAACATAGCACCGGCCTACTAACGAAGTTATCTTGTTGATTTCCTAAAATATTTCGTACAACGGAATTAGTCTTACTGTGCTTAAGGCAACATGGAATAGATTAGGCCTTTCAAAGTAAGAAYAGTTRATAGCGTGGGATTCGATGTTTACGTGTTGGTTTTTATTGACATTTGGGTTGTTTTGATAATTTTAACATTTGAGACAAGAGTTGGCACGTAATTTCTCAAAGGTCAACTAGTGAGATTGGTGTCTACCAATCCCTTTATAGCGATCGTTTCCGTTCGTAATTCTTGATGGCAAGGAAATGACGACATTAGGGATTTGTATTTCACGCGGATTTGATTTAAGTGACAGTTTTAAAAAGATCAACTCAAGTGCTGGTTGCAAATAATTAAATCCTCTTGACTTTGTTCTGGTATTTCAGTCACGGGGTTTGATCAAAGATTCGATACTGTTTCAATTAGCTCATTAGGTATTCTTTTGAAATTCTTWCATTCCACAGCTGGAAAAAATGCAGGTGGATGCCTCTCTTGAATTCGATCAAACGTTCGATGTTGTTGCAATTTACATGTTTRAATGGATGCACTCTGGCTTCGAAATTCTCCCATTYTACATTRCATGAAATACTRAGAAAATRCAGGTAGACGCAAAAACTAGTACATTTTTTCWAAAAAATGYCTTTGACTTTGTGGAAGCATTCACTSTTATGTGAGTGATAGGACTGTTTACTGTTTGCTGATCGAACGTTCGAATGTCTGTTTCAATTGGCTGCACAACACAGCTGATTGAACATTCTTTTGRCATCCCTCCATGCCTGGAAAAACACAGGTGCAGCGGTATTTAGATATTTTTTCTGCAAGTGTGGATGTCAATCAAATCAAYCGAATCAGTATTATAAAATCTGTAGAAAAGACATGTTTAATAAAAGTTAGAATCTTCAATGATATAAAAAAATTTTAAGTTAACAATTAATTAGCTTAATTAGCTTTGTTCAACAAGAGTGACTTGTGGAAATTGAGCAAGCATAAAAAACGCTCAAGAAAAATTTTAATGCACAAAATTGTCAAAAATTTAAAATCTTGCACACTAATCACCATAAAATAGCACTTCAGCTGCTGCATAATAATTGGACAAATTAAAATGAAATAAATATTGAAATCTAAATGGTCATGTGCATTCAAAATAGAAAAAAAAGTAAGCAAAGGTTGTCAAGTGGATTTTGATGCCATTGGAAATATGATGTACCAGTGATTTAGAATAAGTTAAAACCTCCACTGCCTTGACTTGTAGATCTGTCATCAGAGATGCTCGGTGATGCACCAAAGTTAAAGGTGAAACCTGGTGATGAAGGCTGGTTCCCATGACTACCTGGCTTAGGAGAAGGCTGATCTCCAAACAATGCAAAGCCCACTGAGGTAGATTGCTCGGATTCCTTTGTTGACCCWGGTGACATGGAAAACAGGGAACTGCAGAGGGAGGTAGAGYTGGAATCAYTTCTAGGATGAAACTGGCTGCCTGTTTGACCTAATAGTACAAAAGAAACTTTATACTCCTTGTTGAAGTTGTTGGTTTATAGTAAGGTTACTTTATAAAAGATAAGATCACAAGGGAGCAAGGGAAGACATGATTTTTAACAAGAATTTGAGTAAACATCTGCAGAGCAATATTTATTATTTATAAGTTCTGATATGCACATGTAATGTTAAAAATAGTCTATAGGCATGTAGGAGAGAATGCTTTAATACCATWTTTATCACACATAAGCTTCTCTAGCTATGAGAAGTATTCAATTCAAGTACCTTAGTGAWTACTTTGAAAGATAAAAGTAATTAGACAATTGAATAAAATTCTGATACCAGMAATGCCATATCTTCTCTATTTCCCATATAGCATTTGTAAATTCAATTATTAGATATGTCTACAGTTATTAAGTGAGATATGATAGTTATGAGGTGCTCATTTTAAGTAGATTGGGTATAAAGGAGTTGAAGGTTTTAAGTACTGATCATATATTGTTTCATCACTTTATACTCATTTTGTCATTTGGAAATTCAATTAAAGTGTGGTTAACAAGMTGAAATTTTGACACAYCTTTGATATCTCTCTTTTAAATACTTTGATAGAGTACATAATTTGATAATTGCATAAAAATACCAATGTGTAGTTAGTTATATTAACATTTGTGAATTCAATTATCACCGCAGCTCACTTCTTGATAATTTTTATGCATCCTTTGCCGTTGTTTACAAAGTAATTTTAACATTTCCTATGTAATTAGCACACACAAAGTATGCTGACCTATTAGATTAATGACATAAGCTGATGTTACAATGTAGAACTAGAAGATGAGATACATGTAATCAGCCAGCTGTTGTCCAGCTTAAATTCATTAGATAAAATACAAAATATGTATACAAATAGTTGTCTGTCTGTGGGTGAATTCTACTTGAGTATTCTTAGACATGTTAGTCATATACTTGATTACATTRGATTTGGTCTTTTTATGTGATATAAAATTATAGTGAATATGTTTTTGAATTTAGAGCTGGAATAATTATAATTAATTGTTYTTTAATGCTTTAGCAAGACATTATTAGCTGAAACTTTAAATGGCTAGTGAAGTTAAGTCATGCCCTAACCCCTCCTCTCTGGGGAGAGAGTTGTACACAAGTTGATACAGTGTTCTTTTATGATGGTGGAATTCCAGAAGAAGAGAAAAAAGAAAAACCCAACAAGCTATTAAAGGTGGATTTTGAACAGAAAAGATATTTAAATAGCTGATATATTTACCCATTTCCTGTTTGTCCTTTTGAGGAGACATGTTGAAAAATGTGGGTGTGGTTGAAAACTGTTGAAAGGATCACATTATATCTAATTTTATTATTTCCTAAGTGTTTTATCTATAGGGAAATGTGTAGGGGGCAAAGTAGTCATCTTGTCTACCTGAACTACCKCTTTTGACTTAAAGGGCGGGGTCTAGGAGGTATTCAGTTAAWGGGGGCAATGAGCCCAACTATAATATCTTAACAGAATAAGTTAATACTCCATTTTTGTGTTGTGTGTTTAGTGCACAACTGTGTAAATATATTCTTTGGGTGACGACTAAGGAATGAATGAATGGAATGTGTGTTAGAAGAAGCTAGAAAAGGTGATTAAGAATCTATTTAATTTTCCTTACAATTCACTATATTTTGGTTACAATTGAAGCCAATGCAGGGTCAATTTTGAGATGGTTGGATTTGTGCTCACAATATATACTGAGGTGCAATTATATGAATTAAATCATAATGGTTGAAAACTGAGCCTGGTCTAGTGCAAGTCATTGATAAACACAAAACTTAAACGTTTTGCATAAATTTGAGTCCCAGTAATTAGCTTTATTCATCACCTGATCGCTTCTTTCTTGTTGTCTTGGCTTGAAGAAGGGTTGGAAGAAAGGTGTCTGGTTATCTGCTATACTGTCTGAGCTTCCTTCCTCCTGATCATGAAAAGATACACCAAATATACTAGTTATCACCATACATACTCCTTTTACAATTTCCAGAGCCATCCTCAAATAGCCTGTGTACATCCATTCCCACCCCTCCCCCTACAGGGAAACATTAACTGAATTTTTCCCATAGGGAGGGAGGGATGGGAATGGATATTTACAGGCTATCCTCAAACAGCTAAGCTAGTGCATTGAAAGGAGAAATCCTTATACACCTTTTTGATAAGTCCCGAGGTATTGTGTTCTCCGCACTTGATGTCAAATTTATTCTTTTGAAATTTTTACAATACAAAAGGAATTCAAAAGAATAAATGGGACTTATTAAAAGGGTGTATAGTTTTGAAGTTTTAAAACCTGTTGTCATGGTTATTCTCACCTCTTGAATGGCTTCAAACATGGGTCTGCTATGAAATGAGAAACCTGCCCCAGGTGACTTGCTCATCTGCATCATTCGTTCCTTATAGTCAGCAAAGTTGAATATTTCACCTTGYTGGCTTGATGTTGGTGTCTTTGGGGTAGTGGGACGGCTGKCTGGTCCTGGGCTCTTGGCATTGATRGAGTCAGGAGAGGCTGATAACAGGAGGGGATAGTAACATTTTCTTAACAAGTGCAAGGGCTATTCTATGAGTAATGTCCATGCAGAGTAAGTTTATTTCTCTATCATAGAGCAATAGCYAATGAAAATGTAAGAGGAAAAGAGTAAAGAAGACACCTGCTCTGTAGCTAATCAAAATGTCATAGTATTTTTATAATTACCATTTTGATCTTCATTCATTTGAATTTCTTCTGTTTGATTATCATCACTGCAAGTAGGATATTCTTGAGCATTWCTGGAAGTGCTTCCTGTATTGAAAATTGATAAAGGATGATTATAATTGTGTCTACAAAGATGGAAATGATGACAGGATCTTTAGCAGGCCAAAGACATCCTAGTGAAGGTTGGTGATGACTTCTCAGGACACTTATAAATACTGGCCTGGCAAACTAAAATATTACCTGCCAGGATGTTCCTTGGAGATGGTTGTAGCACTGAACCAATACCATTTAGTTGCCTTGGAACTGAGAGATGAGAAGGTGCTTGCAGAACACTAGCAGGGACTGGTGTACCAATCCTTGAATGTCCCAACAATCCATTTGTATTGACAGTCAATGACCTGCTTCCTGGCTGCCTAGACATGGTGACATTGTTCAATGGCATTGGTGATGATACAACAGATAATGGTGTTTGATGCCCTGCTTCTTGCATCGTAGGATTTGTCATCTGAACACATCCTATTCCCATCCTTGTCTGAGAAGAAATGGTAACTAGTTGTTCATTGTTTTTTACTTGGTTGCTAGGTGATTCCTGTGTCTGCAATGTTCCAGTATTTGGTGATGTCTGAGCAMATGGYTCTGTTCTTGAAGATTGCTCTGGTTCACACTCCATTGCTTGACCTTCAAGAAAAAATATTGTGGAAAAGTTGAGATAGATGGTATTACAAATGACTATGATGAATAATCAGCTGAAGAAGATTAAGTGTTAAAAGAAGCATTTTTTTACTGCAGTGACATTGATGATGGTATGACAATGATGAATAATCATCATTTCAAGGTTGACTAGGTCATTGTTTCTCAATTTAATATTGATGGACACTCTGAACATAGATACCTGAACTCTGATGATCATGGTCACTATCTCTTTGTAAGCTTTGCTCCTCTTCTATCATTTGGTCATCTATTTGTGTCTGCTTTTGTCCTTCTTTAATTAGACTGACAGTTTTGGACATTTCAGTGTATACCTTAGCTCTATTGTACATCCATTTAGTCAATGATTATAACTTTTTTTACAATTATTGTGCATTTCCTTTTATTTATGTGGCATGCAGCAAAATCATTATTTATTTTTACTTGGTGGATACAGATTTATAATGGCAGTTTTAGGAGARCAGTCTCCCTGTTTTAATGCATCTACAAGAAAAGGAAATGAAATGTTAAGTCTTTCAATATAAAGTGGCAATGTTATGAGAAATGTGATATTATGCCTCACCTTCCAATTCATTTTTCTCATTTTCTGCTTCAGTTACTTGTATCTTGAGTTCAGCAAGAGTTTCTGCTGTTTTCTTTACTAGTGTCAAAATAACTACTTTTTATTCTACTTTATCATTAATTATGTTAACGTTGACATAGCAAATACCTTCATTTTGCAATTGCAATGCTGCAGTTTTGATTCCAGATAGTTTTGTTGCCATTTCTGAGCTCTCGTACTTGGTATGGTATCTTGTCCAAGTACTTTGGTATTTTTGAATGACTTCRTTGTTTTGYAACTTYAACTGTTCAAGGCTTGAGCAAGACTTTTCATACTTTTTCTGCAGTTCTTCCTCATGYTCACAGAGTAAAGTATTGGTCTTTTTTAAACTTATAAAAATTAAAATATGCTTATTTTCAAACGGGATTAAAAATGAGTGAATGAAATTGAATTATCTTCTAAAAAGTACCTCTCAATTGTTTCCTTATTCTGTAGAAAACGTTTATGAAGTTCTTTAGCTTCTTCATTGAGATCACTTGAAGTGCATTCATGATCTTCCCTTTGCTTGTTTTGTGCGTCAAGCTCTTTTTGGAGTGCTGATTTCACACGATCACGATCAAATTAGAAATTTCTTTAAAGAAACGTCTGCTTTTAATAGTCAACAACAACTTTGATTTTCCATACCTGAGGTTTTTAGTGTYTCTTCTTCCAAAAGTCTCACCAACTGAGCATTTTCATTTTCTTTTTGATCAGAAAAATACGTGGTGAAATTGATCTGATGTCAAAGGTTTCTCTTTGTAAGTGAAATATAAATTAAGTTATCCCTTACCTGTTTTTTGTATATAATTTTCAAAGTCAGGACAAGATCGTTCACCACTWCCGTGAGTTTGAAAGCGTGAAGGACTTGAATAGAGCGACTCCATTTTCGCATAAACTAAGAAATCTGGTAAAAATAGCCTCCTACTTCACACGTTTTCGGGTCAATTTTCAACTTTTTTCACGGAGTGAAAAATCAAAAATCAGCTTAAGTGATTAATCTTAATCCTTCATAATTATTTTATATTGTTTGAACTTGTCATTCTTGAGGAGTATTTAAAGAAATGATGAAGGATTGTTTACGTTTTTCTATGGAAAACGTTCAAGAGATGGAAAATAAAGTCGTTCCCAGCAAATTGAACTTTGCGCGCGCGTCAACATTTGAGCGCGGGAAATCTTCCCGCCATTTCTACCCAGTCACGTACTTGCGTGACGCACATGCGCCTTTTAATGTTTTCGTTAATAATTTTCTTGTTTTGTTGTCGTTTGATTTTATTAACTTCTTGTTTATTTGATTCAGTCTATAATGTTTTTATATTTTCATCATTCATTATGGTAAATATTATATTTTTTATTAGTAAAGAAAAGGTATTTTGAACGTTTACAATATTTATATTGAAAATCTTAACTGAATCCAACAGTATTTACTCTGCGAACAGAGCTACTTTTCTCACCCGCCGAGAGCTCTGTTCGCAAAGTAACAGTCTTATTCTATAGCAAGAAAGCAAGTGAAAACCATTAAATTAGCCAAAGAGATTGACACGAGATTCCCGGCCTCGGGGATTTGCGCGCGCCTTCACTTTTCCATTATTGTCTACTGATCGTAGAAGAAGTTGATAATAGTGTATAGCGTCCCTATTATTTCGCCAAGCGTTTCTCTAATTTCCTCAGATGATTTRGCCGTCGGCGCCTTCTCAYCGAGATGTCCTCGAAACTCGTCTAAAAGCTTCSCCACACGAGAAAAACCAGGGACTTGCTCCTTCTCAAGTATCTTAACYGTGCGGTCAAACTCGCCATTTGGTATCATGGTAGTTTTGATCTTCATACAAGTGTCTTTGGTACCGCGCATGTGCGGTACACCTTGACTGAAACGGACAACATTTTTGAAATCTTCGTCCCACATTAGAACGGTATCGAGTAGAAAGTGAATGTCGTCTTGTTGCTGTTTCATTGTTTCGTACATCTTCTCAAGGCCACTAATGCGAGTTTTAAGGAKTTTKGTGTTGGTTGCTATACACTTGATTGACAGCTTTTCTGTCCTTRTTGCTAGGTCGCCCATAGTGCTACTTGTRACAGCTGCCATCTTGGTCTGGAAATCACGAGAAATGTTAACATTTCGTTATGGATAAACCAAGATAAAAACAGGACGAAATATTTACATACTAATTGATATCAGTATATATTCTACAGGAAAAGTTTTGACTATATTTACCAAGACAGATTTGTCATGTGAGTGTAGGCGTACTTATTCATAATTTGACCGGTTCTCGTGCATGCATAATAAGTCTACGTTTGAAGATTGAAGCATGAAAACTGAGTCACTATTTCTAAGCACTTCTTTGAGTTCTCGTATTTAAGAAATCATGAAATGCAAAGCGTCTTGCTTATCAGTGTAAGTGGTGTAGTGTAATCTTTTCCAGAAAAGATATCTATGATATTTGTTATCGCTTATGGCGCAAGTCTATTTTACCATTCAACGAGCTCCGTCAATTTGCGCTTTGAATATCAGAAAGACGGGCGTCTGTAAGTTTTAGAATAATGTTCACTTACCCGCCTATCCTTACGAGAAAATACCTAAGTTTCAGTTCTGTGTTTCTTCACAGAAAAAGCTCAGAAATGCCGAACAGAGCGCATGAGTAGAGTTACCGCCCAAAATTATGTCGTAAAACGAAGCGATGATCTGATTGGGTTGTTACCAATGGTGCGTTCCGATTGGCTAATATGTTGAGGCAGCTGAAATAGTTGACGCAAAGGCACGGATCTAAAAGTCATAACTTAGAATTGAAAACACACTTAAAAATCGTAAAAAACAGTAATCAATTGATAACTTTTCGAGGAAGTGTTAGGCGGCTACAGAGGAATGATTTAGCATTTTTCTGTAAAAAATTGACCTCCTGAATTAAGCAGTGAGTGTCCCCATGTTGTCTTCTCGCCACTAGATCAGCATTTTGTACAAGAAAACCAATTTGAAAGGTGAACACTCCATTATCGGTCCCAAGTTGTCGTAATTTAACTTTCGTATTAGATTCAGCTCGACTATCCACCCATGCACAATTTCACATATAATTCTCGATAAGCAAATATTTAGCCTTTGGTCAATAGGGAAACTCGTGAAGTATATTTCATTTGCACTTAAATGGTTTCCCAAATGCAAACACGATAGTTCTATTGGCATTTGAAAGGCTTCCCAAATTATTTGTCTCGGYTGTTTGYCRATGGTGAAAATSCTGAATTGTTATTGCTGTTTGGTGTCATATGAAGAAAGAAAAATGCAACTTTTCATGTTTTCATTTTTTAATAGCATGTTTATTTTATTTGTTTGAATAACTTATTCATAATTTTGCTAAAAACAAAAATAGAACTATTAAACTTTACATCTTAATGCCTAATATACTTGGACAACTTTTTCTTTAATTTTCAAAATAAATATCTAACATCGTTGAAGTTATGCCAATCAATTTCCCTAAAAGTTGCCGAATTTCTTCAATAAAAGTGGCTTTATACGATAYATCATCGTTTACAATTCTTGTAAGCTGCTTTTTCAAAGTCTCTAAACCTTCATGAACTTGTTCAAAACATGGAACGTCAGCCGTTGCGAGATTCTGCAWTCTGAAGTAGAAATCGCCATGAATATCATTGAGAAGTCGACTCACTTGTGACGAAATTTCCTTRACATTTCTTACATACGGGACTCCCTGATTGTTTCGCGGGACCTTGTCAAAATCACTTGACCATTTCTTTATGAAGCTGTCGATATATTCGAKATCTGCGCGCTGCTTGGCAAGGGATTTCTCGAGATTTTCGAGCTCTTTAACTTTTGATGTGAGCTCGGTTTTTCGYTGGATGACTCTCTTGAGAGATATCTTTTTGTCTTGTAAGTTGTCCAGGCCATTCAKGTCGATTATGGAATCCATTCTGAAATGATTAAAAAATGAATAACTGAATAAGATCAGTGTTGAATGSCAGTGAAAATAACAAACGATAACGGAATGAAATAATTTTGATCATATCACTCCGCGAATTTCCGTTTACCGCAGCTCAATATTGCCAGAAAAATATCCTTAGCAATAACATATATAAGTGGACGGAATTGACACCATTAAATTTCTAAAGCTAAAATATTTAGACAATCTTGAGCGCCATGGAAATTAAATGTCAAATATCATAGTTAGACTCTTAACTTGTCAAAAATRGTATATATTTAATCATTTCTTTTATTCATATTCACTTTCGCACTTTCCCTTTGGTTGAAATATGACGTGTTSATCATTAACGAGTTCTAATTTGGGAAACTCTTTGATTGTGAAACTCTTCACTCTCCTGGGGCCTGAAAATAGTCAATCGATCAGGAACAAGAGAACTCTTGATCAGGAAATTGGAATTTGACCAAATATGTTTGGCAAAAATCTGTTTTAAATTTCAGCAAGCCGAGCATCTTTGATTTACCAAATAGTAAATTAAAAGGTAAGTTGAATGCGAGGAACGACTTTGTTTTCTACAAATATAAAGCGCACAAATAAAACACTGATTTGTGCTTTACAGGCTAAACTCCAGCGCTAAGTAGCACAAGTTCGATAACAATTCGACTAAATATATAACATAGTATAAGAGGAAAGGATAAACTCCATGGGAAATATTACGATCATTGTTGTGTTATTTTTTATATTTTGAAACTTCAAACATACAATTGGAAGCATACCTTTTAAAATCAACTTGAAAATAAATTGAAAAGAAGGAAAATGGGAACTGACAAGCAAGCTGATTTTGAAATATTCAGGTACACTTTATATCGTATCTGTTATTTCAGATGAATGATTCAAAAAAGGATGATTTTCTTGTCTATAATGTGATTCCATAAGCAGTGAAATATGACCACAAAAAATATCTGATGATMATTAATTATTTTTAGCTTCAATCACATAAATTGTATACTGCTACTTTAAGTAATGAATGCTGTTCGTATATTCTTTCAAAAGTAAAAGCACATCCTCACCTTGCAGAAATAAGGATTTATCTTCCGAAAAGGACTCTCAGTGTAACCGTGATAGCAATGAAAGCGCGGATAGCTTAGCGGTAATTCTCTCCAGACAGCTAAAACAAAATCAGCCAAAAGATAGTCCGACTTACACACTCAGCTATTTAGGGCGTGGTCCAGATAAACCCTCCCTTTTCAATGGTAATTAGAATAGTAATTACCCACGTGACTAAACGAATCATCATTGGACGAACGTTTCCACATTACCATATCACTTCATCACGCGATTACATATGTTTGTTTTATTTGTAAAATTAATGAATCACGTGATTAGATGCGTGAATTTGATTGGTTAATTATGATGACATCCCCTAACCATCATGCTTTGCATTGAATGCAGGGTAAATAATGACAGGTTTGTTACAATAAAATACAATATATTATTTTCAAGTTACTTCAAGTTGACACCCTAAAAACATTAATAACCATGTCCATTTAGTATACCACACACGAATTAGATATCAACTCGGCATTCAAACCTGATGAGTTGCAATTATTTTCTTCGATAATAACCTTACYTTTTYAGACAACGAATATAAYGAGATTTAAGGCTTTGCCGGAATCAGTTCCAAGTCAGTTATGAAATRAAATTGCGTTTCCTGCCGACCAAAAAATTAAATTGCATCGGATGAAAAAARKTWARGRAA